AGAGAAAAGGTACGGTATTGCAAGATGGTGTTGAGAATCCACTAACTGGAAGCGAACAGCTGCTTCACAGGTAACAGTGATAAACAACTTGCAAAGGGTTCCCTAACAGCAGTAAGACAGACAACCGTTTTGTCATTTTCATGCTTTATAGAATCCTTAATTTTGTGGATTTCTTAGGCCACTATAATGAATGAGATGTTCTCAGAAGTAGCAGTTGTCTTTCTTTCCAGAGAAGAGATTGGGGGGGTGGGGTGGGGGGAGTGGGAGGGCAGTGACAAAGGAAGAGGATAAGTATAGCAAAAGGAATACAAGACAGACAAAGGTTTTAAAGAAATTCGCTAGTTATTAGAAGGACTACATTACATCTTGCTGCAAGATTTTCTATTAGAGCTTGCTACAGAAGCACAACAGACAGCTGGTTCTCACTCCCTACTCCCCCAATTCAATTCCTTTAACACCTTTAAAGAAAAATGGATATAACTGAAAGATTTACAGCAGCTTCAAACAAGCTGCTGCTTCAGGTTCTACCACACATACAAATTCCTCTGCCAATAATATATTTATGCTAACCTCACAAAGACAGAGCAGCAAGTCTGATGGCCATGACAAAAAAAAAAAAAAAAAACAAAAAAAAACACAACACACCCAGAAAAGGACACACACACAACCAAAAAACCCAAAAGCAGGTACACCATTTGAAGTCTTTCCAGGTTCCTATTACATAACAACAGTACAGTAAGTCCAGTTATGCAAGTCATGTCTACACAAAATTTTGGTTTATAAACTGAAGCAACAGTCACATTCCCAAAACCTAACCTCAGTTTGCTACTGAACATTTACAGCTTATACCAGTATGAAAAATCCAAGTGTCCAAAGGAGAAAAGGAGTTCCTCCCCACCACCATAATTTTTTTTCTTTTGTGAGAGGCTTCCTGTTAATATTGCTCTCAGTAGAAAGCTGGAATGGTTTTGTAATTCACGTTTTTCACATGGATTTCTAGATTCCCAAAAAGCCAATACTTCTCCCAATACAGTGTTTATCATGCATACCCCTACTCCCTGGCAAGGTGATCAACAACTAGTGACCAGTCAGAAGGGTCAGGTCTGGTTATGACCATTTTTGGACTAGACAGATCCAAGAGCAGGGATGCTGTTGAAGAGAAACTTCTCGATACTCCAAGAGCGTCTCAAATTATTGTCACAGTTAGTTTGCTCAGGCACCAGCACCATGAGCTCCTAGGTAACACAACCACAGCTAATTCCCAAGCCAGATTGACAATCAAACAGCAAAAGATAAACTACATGTCCTCTTACCATATACTCAACATCACACTGTTACTTTCCTGTACAACTACTTGAATGGGTCCTCAGAGAACTGATGCTACCAACATTGACCATAAAAAAAGTCCAAAAGTCACATCATAAAGTGACTTCTAAAGTCTTAAAATCTAGCTGCAATTTGGAGTTATTGTCTCCCTCCAGCTTTTAGGGTTCACTTTTTTCAACTGTGGATAATACAATAAAAACTCTAATGAGAGCCTGTAATGAGCACCATTCACATGACTAAAGACCTCAAAAAGGACTTTCAGTGCAATCACTGCATTTGCTCATACAGTGAGGGCATTAGGCCTAAATAATGGGGAATAACTGGAAAGACTGAAAAGCAATGACAGCCCAGTTTGCCACTGTATTTCAGAATAGCACCATGGAAGAAATTTCTCACTAAAAGATACAGTACCTTTTGCAAACCTTGTCTAAAGGCAACCCTACAGCAAAAGATAGGAGTCTTCAGACTACAGTCTAGAATTCACAAGTCTAGTACAGTCTATGGATTACCAAGCCGTCTGCAGAAGATGGCTAAAAGAAGCAGGTTCATACCTGCTATACTGCAGTGTCTAAAAAAGGCTTCTCTGCAAAAAACCTTTACAGAAATCTCTGAAGGATTCCACACATGAAGAAAGTTTGAGGCCCTTAAATCTAGAGTTTGAGAAACACTGCACTTCACTAGTAACACCTTTCCATAAAAATATCATCTAAAAACTTCATAATAAGGACGGCAAACACAAAACTTGCACTGAGGAACAAGGATCACTCTTTGTGCTGCTACACTTCTGTGGCAAATGAAAACGGTCAGTTTTGTCTTATTAAGACACGCTAGCAACTTCACAAAGCCACCAAAACTTTTATTTCCTCCTTGACCAACAACTCTCATTTGCTCACTCTGTTGTACTAAAGGAAACCGGAGGTTGCGTTTCTGCTCATACACAAGCTGAAGTTTCTTTCAAATGATCAAAAGGCAGAACAGCTCAAGTCTTCTTCCGATCGGAAGCGCTACCTAAACACCACACACCTGTACTGTGCTTTCACATCCATAAGAAAACACCTCATGATAAGTTTTGCACCAGTATCTTCACTTTTTATTTTTGAAGCGTTAAAGTGAAGAACTACAAAGGTTACAAGCTATGCTACACAACCTTCCTCTCTAGGGCAGATGATCTGAGTCCGTTCTGGGAAGTAAGCGTCTGTAAGCAGGAGCCTCCCTTCTCTCCAACTTCACCACATACGCCCACATTAAAAAGCAGAAATCGCCTAAACAGCAACACAGAAAGAAGAAAAAACTCGACGCCAGAGAGGCAGCGCGGCAGACGGGGGCAAGGAGCCGCCGGCTGCCCCTCACCTTCTGGATGGAGGACTTCCCGCTGCGCCGCAGTCCCATAAGCAGGATCCGCGGCTTGGAGTCCGCCCCGCCCGCGCCGCCGCCGGGCCCGCCCGCGCCGCCGCCGGGCCCGCCGGGCCCTTGGCCTCCCTCCAGCTCCGCCTCCTCCTCCTCCTCCCCGTAGCCGAAGTCCTTGGGGAACGAGTCCGCAGCCCCGAAACTACCCCCCACCAACGCCGGCTCCTCAGCCGTGCCCGCCGCGCCCGCCCCGCCGAACTGCAGCGCCATGTCCGCCCGAGCCTGCCGCGCTCCAGCCACCAGCGCCCGTCCCAGGGCCTCCTTCTGCTCGTGTAACCCAACCCGACAGCGAACAGCCTTCCCCGGATTGGCTGAGATCAAGCCCCGCGGCGCCGATTGGCTCAGGAAGGCAGCGAGGTAGGATGGCTCCGGTCAGACGACCCGAATCACCTGACGGCGCTAACACACGTGAGTGGAAGAGGCGGGGCGAAGGGCGGCCCGGTCGCGCGGCCGGGAGGCAGCGCTCGGCCCTCCCGCGGCCGAGACCCGGCCCCAGCACGGCGGGCGTGCTGCAGCTGCGGCGCAAAGACAAATGGAAACCGAGGCCCGGGAGCGTTCGGTAAAGAGGCAGTCGCCCTTTCTAAGCGAACATTATCTAAGCAGCAAGGTGCTTCATGTTCATTAAGTAGGTATTAATTTTATAATGGCATCCTTTGTAGAGGCAAGTAGTTGGATTGAAGTTTTAACAAATACTTGTTAATTACAATCATAATTTAAGGCTCAGCAGACTGGACTGTTTTCAGATGGAAGCGAATACAGTTATGAAAAGAGTAACGGTGTATTACTATGCCCACACCTGCTGTCTCGACCACGGAGTCCTTCATGCCCTGTGACGACCTCAACGAAACACCTTACCTGCCTGCTGCTTATTTGGCAAGATGCACCCCGAACACAGCATTGTTTATGTCTTCCTCCAGTCATATTACTCACAGACGTGTTCAGCTCTACAATGCATTATCCTCTCCCTATTTCCACATGCTGCAACTTAGTACTAGGAATATGTTTAACTTGGAAGAGAGCTTTCTTCTCCCCTTTGTTGCAGAGGAAGAGTAATTTTTTCTGTTTGGTTTGTTTTGTTTGTTGTTTTTTTTTTTCCCCCCCCCCAGGGTTCTGTTTGTTTGGGGTGAGGGTTGTTTGTTGTTTTACAGGTTTAACACAGTATTTTCCCCTCCTTTACCTCTCTTCTGGTCTCCTTAGATCAATAATGGGTACAGTATTAAGGTAAGCAACCATTACATTCATTAGCCCTTGATTTTAGTTTGTACATTGCCTTTAGCAAAAGTTCTCATCTGTCCTACCACACCTGTAAGATTATCTGCAAAACCCATCCCAGAAACAAAGAGGTTATGTATTAGATCTACTGGCTGTTAGTTTAAGACAGCTACTGCACTTCCCTCCCCTCTCCCACGCCCCCTTATTTTTCCTGTCAACAGTTGCCTAGTTTTAGGCTGAGACAAATGCAGCTCAAACTTTTTTTTGTAAAGGCCAACTTTGCATTTCAGAAGAATTTTGAAGCTGAGTCAGGGAAGTAGGGGCCATAGAACATAGAGGCGAAAATAGAAATCACAAGTCACACACACACCTATCCCTCTCATTTTCTGCCCTGCCTATATTTTCTTTTCCCTGTTAGTCGAATCAGAAAGAACTCTGCACTGTACTCTTACACAAAACATCCGTTACAGGTAAGAATTTTGTGTCCTCTTCAGAATTGTCTAGGCAGTATCTGGATCAACTCTCCAAGGCCCAGTTTCTGAAATAGGATTGTAAATTCAACTGGTACTGCATCTCCAGCATTGTGCTATGTCCATCACTTAACTATATTTGCCCCTTTTGTGCCCCTCTTAAACCCTATCATTTTCAGTAGAAGTCTAACCTCACTGCCAACTACCAACTTGGAATATACCTTGGAGGTCCTGCTTTGGTTTACCTCTGTCACATCACCCGCTCCAGTTATAAGAAAGCCAAGACATATCATCAGCTTAACAGGACCATTGACCACAATGTAAAATTTACACAGAGTTGGCAGGCACAGTTATGTACAAGTTATTCATAACTATCACCTTTTCTTAAACACAACAAGCAAGAAAGTTGGCCATGCTCAACTTGTGCTTAAACTCAGCAGTTGCTGCTGCAGCTGCACAAAAATAGCTGTACAGTCATGAAATTGCATTTTTTTTCTTTAAGATGATAAGGTAACAAAGTAGACATGCAAGAGTTCACACACACAAAAAAAAAAAAACAAAAAAAAACACCACCACACACTGCAGTTCTCAGGAAGCCCTTTATTAAATCAAGGCATTAAAGGAGAAACTGCTGTTATTCACCATGCTTCTCATCTTGAGGTGGTTCATACTGAGCCAGCTGTGGATTTAAAGAGAGGAATTTAGTTAGCTGTAACATTTCAGAGACACTTTCTACATTAAGAAATGTAGGAAAACGTTTGGTCTGGAAGCATTCCACTTAATGCATTTTAATCCATCACTGATATTTATGCAAAGCTATTTTCAAGTCAGGCAACAAAGTAATCCTTCCCTCAAAACATCAGTTTGTCACATTGTATAATCATGCAGCTCTAACAAGTGGGCTTTTAAAATGCACTTTCAAGCACTTAGGTCTTGCCTGTAATTTTTGCCTGTTTCTTGATCTAGGTCTCATTAAGTACTTTTCATCCCAAATGGCATCTGATAACAAGCGTGTTATAAGCTTTGATTTAACTGAAATATGATTAAATGAAACAGTCATTCTCATAACAACAGTACCCAAACTAACACTTCCTATAATCATTCTATCTTTCATTACGCTTGCTAGAGCGTAGGGACTAGGCAACTATGCACTCAAGTATGACCTTTACTTGTGAAGTTATTCCCAGATAAACAAATTAAGGTGTTTTCTTGACCTCAGTTACATTAAAGATAAGCTCAAGCTTCAAAAATAGGTCAATCATTAGGACCGAGTCTCTGAAATATGCCAGTCCAGTTTCCTCAGTTAAGATTCTTTCCCTCTCCTGCAAATTGCTGAGTAGGCTAAAAGTAAACAAACTATATGAAAAAATTAAAATACCTGTGTGTTCCTCATGGCAACACTAAATTACAGTAATCACTATGCCACTAACAAGAACCACTAAAATAGCATTTTGTCGTTCTTTTAGAGTCTACCACAAAAGATGGTGAGTACACAAAAGTCATTTTTGCCTTCCATAAAAGGGCCTAATTATCACCCCACCCAAATATCCGACATTGTGACAAATAAACATAAGGAAAAGAACAGATCTTCATGGATGAATGCAACAGCAGAGCACTACCTATTTGGACATGAATCACGTTACCAATAAATGCACAGTTAAAGGGACGTATTTTATGCTAGAGGACTGCTAAAAAAATAAATCCAAAAAAAAAAGAAAAAAGTAAATGGTAGTGTTCTCTCTGCATTCTGTCTGTGAGAACTTCTATGGTATGTCAGAATGATGGGCAGATGATGGTAGAGGTTAAAAAAAAAAAAGAAAAAACCCCCAAAAACATGAATGCTGGAAAACACGTAAAGTAAGAGTTACCATTTGAAGGCTGAAGAAGGTAAAAGCACAAACAAACACATGGTTATAGAAAGTCTTACTTTCCTGGAACAAGTTTTGACTTCCTTAAAAGATTTCTTTAAACAAAGACTCAGGTTACTCTGCTTTCACGTGTCTACTTACTATCGGTTGCATTTTTAAGTCGGCTACGCCAAATGAATTGCTGGTCTATTGCTACTCCCCCTAAAATTCTGCTCTTTGCCATATTTCCTAGTAAGAAATAACAAATGTAGCTGTAAGGACTCACAATGAGTAACAGAGGAGTATTACTAGGACAGCAAGAGGGCACTCCAGATGAGAAATACAAGTGGGTAATGCCCAAGAATCCCTTCTCGCACAACTAATGTTGGGTGGTTGTCTCCCAGTAAAAAAAACATAGGGATGTTGACATATAACAGCAGCCATCCTGTCCCAACAAATGCACAGGAACCTGTTACGGCACATAAGCTACTAGTTTATTAAGGTTCTCAAAGGTTTCCTTCTTTTTCAGTGTTGTTAGGTTTATAGTCAGTGCGCTCTTGTAAGGGGAAGTTCTTCACATCTCAGGGCTGTGTCAGACAGCCTCTAGATGCATTCAAGAATGGCTCTGCCTTACCTAGCACTTCAGATCTACTGTTGTTGAAGACAGAGGAATACCAGGGTCATTTTAGCTGAAAAGTGCAAATTACTGTTCCACGTGGATACACGTGCCTCCACTGGTAACATTTTGCCACATTCAAGTTTGTGCCAGGTCACACAAACTAATATATGATACTCCTCCTTTGCCTTGCCTTTTAAAAGGGTTTTTAATAGATACATTAGCTTTTTTCTTTTTCAAAATTCTTGTGAATGCACCAGCTACATAATATCACAAACACATCCAGACAGAACTGAATAAAGACAGGGTATTAGCCTCAATAACATATACTTCCACTAAATAAATAAAGCCCTTAATTTAGCAATACTATTCTATGTTACAGAATAGAAGGAGTGTCCCATCAAAAAAAAAAAAAAAAAAAAAAATCTCTACTATGAATCCTATCACCATTCCGCAGCCACAAGGCCAAACAATGCAGCATTTATCAGTTACTTTAATAGACGAAAGTTAGCTGTATTCTAAGTATTAAAGTAATATTCTTCTTGTGGATTATGGAACTACTGAGGAACACCAAGTATACTTTTACCTTGGTTTTCAGTTTTTTATTTTCTTCCAACACAGCTTCGTATTTTTCTTTCATCTCTGCCACTTCCAATCGAAGTGCCTCTATTTCTGGATTCTCAGGAGCTGAAGCTCCCAGATGATGCTTCAGAAAGCTGATATTTAGATGTTAAGTATTTCTTCAGTTAGATAGCATAACCGCATTTTAGTTTGAACACTTATGATGAAGATAGTGCTGCAATACATGTGACAGAAATTGCATTAAACCACTTAATGTTATTACAGTGCTCTTCATCCTACAGGATGAAGTTATAAAAATAAAGCTTTTCAAGTTCATTGGTATAGTCCTTAAAAACAAACCACTAGAAACAAACAAACAAACCAACCACTAGAAACAAACAAACAAACCAACCACTAGAAACAAACAAACAAACCAACCACTAGAAACAAACAAACAAACCAACCACTAGAAACAAACAAACAAACCAACCACTAGAAACAAACAAACAAACCAACCACTAGAAACAAACAAACAAACCAACCACTAGAAACAAACAAACAAACCAAACAACCAAAGACATCAGTGCACACAGGACAAATCTTGTGTTTTACTACACCTTCCTCTCCTTCTCCTCTCTTAAACAGAGGTTTTGAAGAGCTAAAAGGAATAACCAAAAAAATAGAAGCAATAGCTGAAAATAGCTTAAAAACAGTACGAAACAAGATTATGTCAATTTTTTCCCCTCTTGTATTATTAAAAAGAAAAAAAAAAAAAGGAAGCCACAGACACTGTAAATACTCAAACTTAATGCTGCAGGTCTACAATGTTCTCTAATGGCCTATAACTTAACTTCATAACTGCTGGCATACTGATACACACAGTTCTCTCTCATCCTGTCAGACTTCCTATTAACCTGTAAGAGTGCAATTACTAGCTAAAATGCATCCATAAAAGCCATATTGTCAAGGTAAGTCTTCTAAACAAGCCTCTCCAGTTCACCTAAGTCTCAGAAGCAGTACTGCTGTTTTGTGTGAAGTCTCTATGAACAGAAGAGAAAGGATACTCCAGTGCGCTATTTGGTTTCTCTGGCTCTTCATATAAGGCTACCAACACTGCAAATAGAAAATATTCAACAATTGCAAAAAGTTCATGCAACTCTAAGTTTTTAAAACATGTACCAACAGTCAGAAGGCATACAAGTTGCATGCCACATTTATAGCACATTTTCTGTTTAACAAGATATTAATCTGTATACTTTAACATAAAGAATAGGTCTGCTCTACAGGAGGGAACAGAGCATCCCACCCAGTAACAGCTAGACATAAGTTCTGTTGATCCCCTAGCCACTGTCTTTGGCTATTCTAGCGTAGAACACAAAACAGCCTGAACAATTTTTACATATTCCACATGCAACCCCCATATCGGCTTCTGTCAGCAAAACCAAAATCTTAACTATTTATAGACATTCCCCCCATAAATTATTACTTCTACTTAAGCTACATCTTTGAACTGCAGGACAGCATCAGCACTTCTGTAACTTTCAGTATAAAAATCAAACCTCCATTGAACACATACAGTGATAAAACTAAATGAGTCCCATCAGATTAAGTGACACTGATAATCTTCATGGATAGGGACTACAGTGGCCAACAGAGTGCTAAAGAGGTCAGGCACAAGCAGCAGTACCCTGACAGCTTAAATAAAACTAGCTGTACACATACCAACTCCGTATCTGGAGAACTCTGGAGAACTCGGTCACAGGAATACTCAGTAAGTTCCCAAACATAACCTCTCCCCCCTCCCCACAGAGATACACACAGCTATAAAAGATGTCTGTTTTCATAAAGACTTAGATGACCTCCCAGTTTCAGATGTCCAAACCTAACGGCCAAACTGGTGTTAAGCTAAGCACCTAATTAAAAACAAAATTAGGATGTCACGATGCTTGAAAGACTAGTCTTGCCATCCCACAGGATGCTTAGCATTGCGATAGGAAGAAATCAAATGGTACCCACATGCTAGGCCGAGTCCTAGCATGGCACCTATTCATTTGACATCCCAGATCGCTGCTTTTCGAACAGCATATTTTTCAAGCAGGAATACTAACAGATTTTCTCCACGTGCTATTGGAAGGCACTCAAGAAGACTTCAGAAGGATTTAAAAGATGCTAAGCCACACAGAAAGCCATACAAGTTTAGCATCGTTATTTTCCCCAATGTGATATCTATAGTCACTCTCACAAAACTTACAGGCTCATTAGTTTTAGAAGAACCAAGCTCTATGCAAGAAAGGGTATTTTTAAATAGGGCAGTTTTAATAGCACATCTGCTGTTATTCTGTGTCAAGAATTTACTTTCTCTGGAAAGTTCTGGCAGAGTAACAGCCCCCAAGAAATCCAGCTGTTTCCAAAAGCAAGCATAGAGAAAAGCACTTCGGCTGAGTAAGAGAGGTCTCCAACACACCACGTAGGAGCAAAGGAGCTGCCTTCCTGTTCTTGCGCGTCTCTAAGAATCGACCCACGGGCAATGACCGTACGAACTACCAGAAAGGAGTTAACGCGTTGCGGCTCACAGGCCATGTTTCCAAAGAGGTCCTCTGCCCTCCCCCAGCACGCATTGCCTCGCTGCCCAGCTCGGGCTCGATTTCGACTGCCGCACCAAGTTTTCGGGCGTGTTCTGCTGCCGGCCGCCACGCAGACTGAGGAGAAAAAGCGGCCGGCTCGCCGAGGCGAGGTGGGGAACCGGCGGAGAACGCCGAGGCAGCCCGAGGGGCAGCCGTGCCGAGGCGGCTGCTGCGCCGCGGAAGCTGGACGCCCCGAGGGCGTGGGCCCCGCCCGCAGAGCCGTCCACGGGCCCCTCGGGCGGCACAACACGGGCCAGAGACTTACCCTTGGTGAGCGTGTCCAGCACCCCCGACTTCTCCAGGTACCGTCGGAACTGCTCCCGCTTGGAGTCCGCGGCCTGAGGGAGGACGCCCACACGGTGAGACCGGCGGCGGCGGCGCCCCCCCCCTCAGCTACGGAGGCGGCTCGTTGGGCCAGGCCGGCTCCCCTCTCCACCGCGGAAGCGGCACGAAGGGCCAAGCCGGTGCCGGTCCGCGGCCTGCCCCTCCGCGCAGACGGCACGGTAAGCCACACCAACCCCACGCCGCAAGCTCGCTCGCTCGCTCCCTCCCTCCTACCTTGTAATGCGCCATCTAACCCTCAGCGCGCCTGCACCCAATTTCGCGCCTGCGCTGTACTCTTTTACGGCGCGAGGGCTTCCCAGCGGTTACCACAGCGACGGGACAACAGCAACGCCCTCGGCCCGCGGGGGCGGGCGTCCGCCGCAGCCACATCTCGCTGCCCTCGTTCGCTTGCAGGGGTCCTCGCGGCCCCCCTCGCCGCCCGAAGGGACGCCGAAGCCGAAGCCGTGTCCCCGTCCCCTAGCAGCTCTGGCCCTTGTCCCGCCCTGCCCTGCACTCTCCGCCACCTGCGGAAGCGCGTCTCGGACCGGCGGTGCCGGGGCTCGCCCCTGCCGGCCCGTGGCCGAGCGGCGCCGCGGCAGGCGGCCCCTGGGGCTCCCCGGTGAGGGCTCCGTCTGGCCCGCGGGGCAGCGCAGCGCGTCCGGCGGGGAGCGGGGCGGGACCAGCAACGTCTGGCCTTCGCTGTGCCTCGGAGCGGAGCGTCCCGCCGCGCCTGGTACCGCGGCTGTCGGTCAGGCCAGTTAACTGTCGTGCTCGCGGCGCGAGTAGTAAGTGGAACGGACTGAAAACTCGCAGGAGGGGAAAGCTGCAGCAAGCTGCAGCTGCGGAGTTGACCACCCAAGGGGCTTCAAAAACATATGCGGTGAAATCTCCTAGCCTTAGCCTGTTTTAAAAACCGGAAACGGCTATACCGGTTTGTTTTTGTGAAACGCTGTGGTATTTACTGACTGATAAAATCTCTGTATGATAAAAATAATAATAAAAAAAGAACCAGCCACATCATCCTGCACCTGTGATGTTAGGGTCTTTTCACACTTTTTCTGCATGCCCTTCTGCAATGTTTTCAGTTTCACTGGAATTAAGTTACACTTTACTACCCACAAGTTACTGTGATGAAATAGAATGTTTGACCTATGTCCACAACAAAAAAGTTAATAAAAATCCTCTGTCATCAGCAGAAAAACAAATTCTGTTGTATCTTGTAATGAACTAACAGAAATGCAGATGCCATATCCCATATGTCAGCATCTAAATGCTAATTTTGCGTTACTTAGTGGGAGGGGAGCGCATTAAATACTAAGCTTTTTATTACAGAGACATTAAATGCAAAACATGCATTAGCAGTTATCGCCCACAGAATCTTATGTATCAGGAAATGCAAGAATTAAAGCCACAGCAGCAGTATTAACTCTGCTATAATACGCTATACATGTATATACATTCCTGTATATTACCCAATGTTAAATTTTACAGTGTAAGCAGAATTACGTAGGGCTGTATTTGTGTATACATGTAGAACGATACTAGAGGTGAGAAAAATAGCTACTGGAGAGAAATCTGCCATGAATAGTTGTAGTAATTTAATAGTATTAAGGCATATTTCTTAAGTGGACAGGGCCAAATTAATGCTGCAGCTACAAGCAAAAGAGCCTTTCAGGTTTTCTGGCTCATTTTTCCTCACATTGTACAGTCTTCAGCCAAACTGAAACATGTCAGGCTCATAAGCATGATGATAATGGACATTAAGAATTTAATAGTGCCGTGATATAGTGGTGCTACATCTCACAAATTATTTTTCCACTACACATACAGTCAGTTAAATCCACTAGTAAATACACATGTATATGCTAATGCCTCCCGGATGTGACCACCTTACCAAGTATTTACAGCCAGTGAATGCTGTGCAACTCAAGTAAATGTATTTCATTCATAGAAGTCTCAATCACAAATGTGGATAGCATTTTGTTAACCTTTCCCTCCTTTATTATTTCAAGATGTTTCATGGTACTTGCCTTACACTATATGGACTGGAGCAGCAAGTGGATGAATGTCCTTTATTTGTTTTATTAGCCCCATAAAAAGCATAAGCAGGAATGCTCCTTCTAAACAATAATAATCATGATTTGGTTTAAAAGTTTGTCAGAATTTGGGGGACAGACAATCCCCATAGTATCCAGAAAAGGAGTAGTATTACAGTTTGATAAACCTTTTATAGGTTTTTTGACATTGTGGCTACCTTTTTTTTTTTTTTTTTCATTTATATTTTACTCTCTGGTTTGTGAAATACACAATTTCTGAATAATAAATTTCACGCTGACCTAAACTGAATAATAAATTTCACATGACCTAAATCGCACAGGTAATAGTTATATAACGACGATAATGAGTTAATGAATAGGCACGTAACGGGATGATATGAGCTTTGGCTATGGTAATTTACGACGGGCGAGTTAGGCGGAACGATTCCCTCGCGTACCCGGCCGGATAAAGCAATCCCCATGTGTTAACGCTAAACCTGGCGTTAAGGAGGTTTCATTCCAGATTTCAGTAGAGAATTTCGGCGACCCGGATGGGATGCTGCCTCGGAAACTTGACGAACCCACGGGATTGTGAAGACTCTGGCGTCGTCTAAGTGTTTTTCAGGGAGATCCTCCGAACCCCTGATCTGGTGAGTTTGGAGTAAGAGCCCTGGTGGGGTTTTTTTTTTTGGTTGTTTTGGTTGGTTGGTTTGTTTGTTTATGTTTTTTTTAAGGCATTAGCAAAGGTAACACAGACTGGAAAAGCCTGTCCGTAAGACTGGACGCAAGAAATTCCCACGGGACTCTGCTATTAAGGGAAACCTGGGAAGAAAGGCGAGATTACACGTTATTACGGTGACGTGCCCGGAGTGTCACCTGGGGTCAGAAGAAAGCCTCGATCGCACGTAAGGTGCGGGCTAGGGTATCGCGGGGCATTGGCCAATGTACGTGTCTAATTATTATCTTGTATAACAGCCTCGTTTAGTTTGTTAGGCGGTGTCATAGTTTTGTGTACGTAATTGTTTATTTTGTTTAATGTGGGTTCCGACCGGTCTAAGGGGTCTGAGAGCGGTCTTTTCAAAAATTCACCTCTGGAATGTATATTAAAATATTGGAGGGACCTGGGAAGCGAACCCCTTATCTGGGAAACAATTAATTGACTATTGTAATCGTTGGTGGCCACTGTAAGTTTTAGAAGCTCGAGAGAAGTGGCCAAAGAACAGACCTTACAGCTTAACGCTATATACTGTCGATGTTGTTTTGTTGGAGGGAAGGGAAACAGGAGGAAGTGCCTTACGTTGATTTTTCTTTTTGTGGCTACATCATCCGGAATGGCAAAAGGATGATGTACGATTCCGAGCGACCCTACGGTTTTAACATTAGAGAAGGATTGGGCAAAGAAGTTAAAGGTGTGCTGTTCGCCACATAGATGTCTGGGCCCCCTGCACACCAACCAGACCCCATGCACCTTGCTGGGCCGCTATGCACACCGACGAGGCCCTCTAGAGCACAACCACGCCTCCTAGACTTTGCCTGGCGACTCTGCAAGCCACCAGACCCCGAGCTCACTACTTGGCCCCCCTGGACCATCTCTGGGCCCCCAGATGTCCAACTACACCCCCTGAACCTCACCGAGAGCCCCTACGCCTCGCCTGGACCCCGTGCACCTCAACCAGCCCCCTTGCAGCCCGACAAGATGCCTGGCACACCAAACTTACCCTCTATACGCCGAGACCTCTGTAGTCCGCTTGGCCCTGGTGTGCTAACTCTGAGCACCCCGCGTGCCAATTGTACCCCCTGACAGCAACCAGATGCCCTGCACCCTGTCGGTGTCACCTGAACCCCAGCCAGCCCCCCTACAACTTGCATGGCCAGAACAGCGTTTTAGGCCCACGGCGAAAACTTTTCGCATAAAGCGCTCAGAGGTACGATCGTCGCTGTACAGCACTGTTTCCTCCAAACTACCACGCTGCACACAGCAATCCCTGTCTAGCTGCTTCCTTTCAGTGGGAACACACAAACGTTCAGCAGAGCCAGAACAGCGCTTTTAGCCCGAAAGCAAAAACTTCTCACGGAAAGCACCTGCACGTACGAGGGTCGCTGTACAGCACTGTTTCCTCCAAACTAGAGTGCCAGCTTAAGTGCCAGCTTGACTGCCAGCTTGAGTAGTACTTTTACTTGGGGTACTATGTAAGTACTGTATTTTATAAGCAATATGTATAAGAAGCAATATATATACTACATTAAGTGATACAATAATTGATACGAAATACATTACGTAATGTAATATATAAGTAATATTTTAGTAATATATCAGTAATATATATTATAATATGTAATAACTGAAGTGCCAGCTGAAGTGCCAACTGAAGTAGTACTTTTCCTTTGGGTACTCTATAAGTGCTATATGTTATAAACAATATATATAGTACAAAGGAATACATTATGTGATACATTAAGTGCGACGCAAGTGATACGTAATATATTAATGTAATATATAAGTTATATATTAGTACTACAATAGTAATATTTAGGTGATATATATTATGGAATCACTGAAGTGACAACTTGAGTGCCAACTGAAGTAGTCCTTTTACTTGGGGTACTATGTAAGTAGTATATATTATAGACAATATATATCAGAAGCAATATATGTAATACATTATGTGATACAATAAGTGATATTAAATATATTACATAATGTAATATAAGCAATATATTTGAAATGTATTAGTATTATTTAGGTACAATATATTATAATATGTAATCCCTTAAGTGCCCCCTTAAGTGCCCCCTTAAGTGCCCCCTTAAGTGCCCCCTTAAGTGCCCCCTTAAGTGCCCCCTTAAGTGCCCCCTTAAGTGCCCCCTTAAGTGCCCCCTTAAGTGCCCCCTTAAGTGCCCCCTTAAGTGCCCCCTTTTACTTGGGGTATTATATAAGTACTATATATTATAAACAATATCTATAATACATTAAGTGATACAATAACTGATACAAAATAATATACTAGTAATATATATTACATTACTGAATATAAGTAATATATAGTGTAATAAGTTCTATCCTAGAGTGCCACCGAGGGTGCCAACTTAAGTGCCACCTTGAGTGCCAACTTGAGTAGTACTTTTACTTGGGGTACTATATAAGTACTATATAATATAATCAATATATATAAGAAGCAATATATATAATACATTAAGTGATAGAATAACTGATATGAAATACATTAATTATTGCAATATTGAAGGAATATATTAGTAATATATTAGTAATATTTAGGTAATATATGTTATAATATGTAATCACTGCAGTGCCACCTTGAGTGCCACCTTGAGTGCCACCTTGAGTGCCACCTTGAGTAGTACTTTTACTTGGGTATTATATAAGTACTATATAATATAATCCATATATATAAGCAGCAATATATATAATACATTAAGTGATACAATAAGCGATATGAAATACATAACTTAATGGAATATATAAGAAATATATTAGTAATATATATTATAATATGTAATAACCGAAGTGCCAACCGAAGTGCCAACCGAAGTGCCAACCGAAGTGCCAACCGA